GGTGGTGTTGGTGGTGTTGTTGGTGTTGGCGGTGGTGTTGGTGTTGTTGTTGTTGTTGTTGTTGTTGTTGTTGTTGTTGTTGTTGTTGTTGTTGTTGGCGGTGTTGTTGTTGTTGTTGTTGGCGGTGTTGTTGTTGTTGTTGTTGTTGTTGGTGTTGGCGGTGGTGTCGTTGTTGTTGTTGGTGTTGTTGTTGTTGTTGTTGTTGTTGTTGTTGTTGGTGTTGGCGGTGTTGTTGTTGTTGTTGTTGGTGTTGGTGTTGGCGGTGTTGTTGTTGTTGGTGGTGGTGTTGGCAGTGGTGTTGTTGTTGTTGTTGGTGTTGGCAGTGTTGTTGTTGTTGTTGGTGTTGTTGGTGGTGTTGTTGGTGTTGGTGTTGTTGGTGGTGTTGTTGGTGTTAGTGTTGGTGGTGGTGTTGTTGGTGTTGGTGTTGGTGTTGGTGTTGTTGGTGTTGGTGTTGGTGTTGGTGTTGTTGGTGTTGGTGTTGGTGGTGGTGTTGGTGTTGTTGTTGTTGTTGGTGGTGGTGTTGTTGTTGGTGGTGGTGGTGTTGGTGTTGGTGGTGTTGGTGTTGGTGTTGGTGTTGTTGTTGTTGGTGGTGGTGTTTGTGGTGGTGGTGGTGGTGTTTGTGGTTGTTGGTGGTGTTTGTGGTTGTTGGTGGTGTTTGTGGTTGGTGGTGGTGTTGGTGGTTGGTGGTGGTGGTTAGTGGTGGTGGTGGTGGTTGGTGGTGGTGGTTGGTGGTGGTGTTGGTGGTGTTGTTGGTGGTGGTGTTGGTGGTGGTGTTGGTGGTGTTGGTGGTGTTGTTGTTGTTGGTATTGTTGTTGGTGTTGTTGTTGGTGTTGTTGTTGGTGGTGTTGGTGTTGTTGTTGTTGGTGTTGTTGTTGGTGTTGTTGGTGTTGTTGTTGTTGTTGTTGGTGGTGGTGGTGTTGTTGGTGCTGGTGTTGTTGTTGTTGTTGTTGTTGTTGTTGTTGTTGTTGTTGTTGTTGTTGCTGGTGGTGGTGCTGGTGGTGGTGCTGGTGGTGCTGGTGGTGCTGTTGTTGTTGTTGTTGTTGTTGTTGTTGTTGTTGTTGTTGTTGGTTGTGGTGGTATGGTATGTACTATGAGTAAATCTTGAGCTTTGATGGGGTCATTCTGAAGTCTCGTATAGCAGTCTTTACGAGGACCCATATTGACTCATGACTGGTTGGTGGGTGAAGTGCAGATGGGTGGTGCGCTAGCATACTATGAAACCGGGGTGTTCAGTTTTCAGAGGTTTCAAGCTTTTGTGGTGCCATCATTCTTGGTGATGACATGGCTACATTTCAGGTAAGCCATACTCCTCCGTTCCTGTTAGGACCATGCAGAGGGCCTTTTTTTCGGTTCTAAACTTAGAGAATGAATCATGAAGGGGGTGGGGGGGGGGGGGGGGGGGKSGGKGAGGGAAGAAACAGTGGAAGCCGCACGGTCCTGCGTCACACGCTTCTTTACTTTTGCGTCGTTCCCAGGTCGTTCTTCAACAGAGGGCCTCCCACAGCCTGTGGGCCTTGAAGGCCAAAAGGTTTGCAAGGTTACTCCCAGCTAATTAAGCCCTTCAGCTCACTGCTGCTGCTTTTACCCACCGTGGTTCTCAGGTCGCTCACTCACGCAGGACCTGAGGGCCTCCTCAAAGAGCCTTCAAACCTTACCTTAGTGGTCCCAAAGCAGTTAGGCCCTTCCTCACTCAGATGACCTTTTCTCTTTGGGAGCACTTAGGTTGCCATGTATATGCCATTAGAGCCGCATATCTGACAAGGCCTTAGGGGACCCTGAATAGCCTTTATGGGACCTATGTACACCCCTACTTCACCCCTACTCCACCCCTAAGGCTCATTTCGAACGGGCTCAAAGTTCAAACCCTTGTGCCATCCACAAGACTTGGAGGACACTCCTCAAAGCCCTCATGCCACTCACTAATTCCTTTATAGTGGAGGTCGTATCGTTAGGTTGCCTCCCCAAAAAAGCCCCTCCCCAAGGCCCTCAGACTGACCCTCAAGGCCCTTGTGCCACAGCCCTGCCATCTTTCTGGGGTCATTAGATCTGGGGTCAGGCCAACTTTCAGATCCCCATTTTCTTTTGGAGCTGATTGTCCCTCCTGGAAGGCCCTTGGACAGGCACCAAAGGCTCTTAAGCTGCCCTGCTGAAGCCATTAGGCCTGTCCCCTACGCCCTGCGGGCCGGGGCCACTCCCCAAGGCCCTAGGGATCCCCCTCAAGATCCATGGACCAACCCCAATGCCCTTGCTCGGCTTCGCAGTGCCCTTGAGGTGCCCCACCTTGAGCCGAGCGCCCTTGAGAGAGCCCCGGTGCTTTTCAGGCATTCCCACTGCCATCGGGCTGGCCCCAAGGCGTTTGGGGCATCCTGGCAGCGCACTTGGACTGCCCTTCATGGCCCTTGGTCCCTCACAAGGGCCATTCTATAGGTGGCTCTCCAAGGCCCACCCCAAATGCGTATGGCCAAGTTTGCCAACCTTAAAAGGCCCTTAGGCTTCCCTGCAAGCCGGGTAGGCCACACTGCAAAACCATTGGCTCGAGGGTCAGCTCCCCCAAGCCTTTCTGTGGCCCGTAGGCCAATCCCCAAAGGTGCCAAGGCCTGAAAACGTTTATTCTTTCTATTTTTTAAGAATGAGTAATTCTTGCGGGCTACGAAAGTGGTACCAGGGACCTTAGGTTTACCACAATACCCTTACCAGGGCCCTTAAGTCCCCTTGGGTCCTCTGAATGACCTTCCCTAAAGTCCTTGAGCCCTCCTTTGAAGTCCCTAAGCTTGCACCCCAAGAACGACTGCCCGCATTTCAGCTCAAGCCTCCTAGGTTGTGCCCCAAGACCTTAGGTTGCCCTTCCACTCCTTAGGCAAGGCTGTATATTGCTGAGTCATTGAGAATGGCCCTGCGGAGCCAAGTGCCTTGGTCATTGGTCAGTTGCTATGGGGCCCAGGGGCCCAGCCCCCAAGTGCTGTGAATGTGGAAGATAAATTGAAGCAGTAGTAGTAGTTTTGGTGTATGATTGAAAGTGATTTGTCCGGTTAACTCCGTTCACAATCAGGACCTCAACCTACTAAATAGCTACACGAGGACCTCTTCGTGCGGCCACCTTCTTAGAGGGACTGTTGAACGACTACTAGCCAATGTGAGTATGAGGAAATAAGGGGCATATGATGCCCTTACGTATACTTCGCCGCATGCGCTTAGGTGCCCGTTGCATGCCCTTTCGACGGCTGAAGGACTGATGAATCCTACAAGTTGCATGCGTCAGCCGAAAAAGCTTAGGTAATAGGTACCCTTGGCGAGCTTCATTGCAACCCCCCGACCAGAAAAAAGAGCTCCATTGAGACCGGCACGGAAGGAAGTTTTTTTTTTTTTTTTTTTTTTTTTGGAAATTATTACCGATCTTGAACGATGACGAATGCCTCGGAAGTCTGAGTCATCAGCTTGCAAGATTTATGTCCGTTCCTCTGTGTGCACACTGCCTGTCGCTCCTACTGATAGAGTTGAGCTAGATTACGAGTCCCATTTAGAAACAAGGAATTAATAAATTATATTATTTATATAGAACTTCAAAGTAGATTTTTTTTCAAGGATCGTTGGAAAAACACAAAATCTATGCTCATATTATTATATGCATCGATGGAGTAACTTCTGAATAAGCAATAATAATACCAATCAATGCAACTCCAATTGAACTCAGATTTAACGGCCTGGTGAAAAAGTCCCCGCCACATTGCAGCAATCCTTGCGGTTTGCTGCCGGGGATGCTGTAAGAAACAAGTTCATTGAACCTGATCCTTTTTTTAAGACAAAGGAGAAGTCGTAACAAGGTTTCTGTTCATCAACCTGGGGAAGGATACATTGAAAAAAGAAGGAAAAAGACAAGCACATGATTTCCAGATGTTGGTTGATGGGGCAGGGCTGCCCACTTTGTTGTCGGGGCCAGTATCGGCGAGAAAGGCTTTAAGCCTTTAAGAACATTGCTCTTATTTCTCTACCACCTTCTGTTCAAGGAACATGAATATGGACGAAGCACAGAAATCCAGAATGCAAAATCACACTGAAGTCCAAGTAGTCCAAGCCAAAGCAGATAGCACAATGGAACCGAGTAACCATCCAATTGAGAATGATACAGAAGAATTGCGAGTCAATGTCCATGCCCAACAGGGCAACACCAACAGCATAACCCAAATGTAGCTCTCTCTTGTGAATGGCGCCAGGCGCCCTATCTACTCTACAGCCTAGCCTACAACTACAGCAATGAAAGCAACCAGACAACTTGACTACCAGCGAGTGATGATGTCAACACCAGTGCCGACCTCCACCTCCACCAGGTACGTGTCCTCTTCACCCACACTCTCCCTTGTACCCACATAGCGCCCTTCACCTCCGAAGACCACCTTCACCCTTCACCTCTCTTGCACCCTCATGCGGCCCGGCTATGGCCGCCAGTGCCTTGCATGCAGGCAGCGCCCTACCGCCTAGCGCTAGCCTGCTTCAGCGCAGCGCAGCTCTTGCACAGCGCAGCACACATGCATTCGCGCAGCGTGCCCGCAATGCCTGCATTGGCCGAAGTCCTTGCCCACTCGCCCTGCTTGCCTATATGCCAGTGCTGCGTGTGGGCGGCCTCCCTTCAGCCTGCGACTGGGCCCCAGAGGCTGAAACCAGCCCGATACAGTTGGGCCCCGGGGCAATGCAGTTGCGCCTCCTTCATCGAGGCCTGCGGCCGGATTCAGATACTGGGCCGATTTCCCTTTGGCATTTTCGGCCTCTATACCCAGCGTGCATTGTCGGCCTCTCGTTCGAGTGCCCAGGGCCTAACTAACTCAGAGGCCCTGGGCTTTCAGCATTTGCTGAAATCCGAGCCTCGGTGCACTCCAACCAACTGGCGTGCTGCAACTGTATGGACCCCACTTCGTGAAATGTTGGCACAGAGGGCTCTTGTTGATTTCCTGGCCCGCCTTCACTTAGGGCGGGCACGAGGCTTGCTGGGGCCTTAGCCCAGAACATGTACTTCATGGCAAGGCCCCTACTTGAGGGCTCAATCCTCACACCTGTTTCTCATCACCGCTTTTTTGGTGGTGCTCTTCTGATGGTTGCGTTTACCCAGTGCTGATGCTCGCAATGCCGAAAAAAAAAAAAGATCATCCTTAGCAGGAGGGGGTGCAAACAACGAACTCGAACGGAGCATGAGATGATGAATTCAACAACAAAACAAAAGGGTTTAAACTTTAAAATAAAAAAATAAAAGTACCCAGCCCATGTGGCAGAATGGCACCACTCACGTAACTGTTACCAAACAAATCATGAGCTCGAACCCTGCCTGATCTCTCTCCTGATCAGCGAGAGTGAAAAGAAAAGGGTTATCAACTTATCACAAGCTGTGATGTTTTCCAACGTATCGATGCGCATTCGTTGCAAAGTCGAAGTAATGCCACACTGTAACCACAGTTTACAGTACTTGGTAGTACTTGGTACACACTGTATCACAAGCAGCTTACACCAACTGGCTTAGCTCAGTTGGTAGTACTTGGTACACAGTAGTACACACCCATATAAAGTTATTCTGTTGAAATTTGGAATGCAGACCTGAGTTCGAGCCCAGATGGAACGAGATGAACGAAATTTCTGAATTACCTGGGGGCTGGTCAGTTTCGTGATGATTCTCTCTCTCTCTCTCTCTTTTTTCTTTTTTTCTGTTTTTTTTTTTTGGGGGGGGGGGAAGTGTCTTTGCTAGGAGAGGTACGAGCACTCCCTCCTAGCAAGAGTCCTGGGTGCTCCAGTCTCAATGCTATTGTTTTTGTTTAAAAACAAAAAAAAAAGCAAGCAGTTTTTTCAACTTTTTTGCCTTTGCTTACCACAAGTTGCTGCAAAACCTTTTCTTTAGTTTACCTAGCTCCATTACATAACACTCTATAATAGTCTATAATAATTAGTATAACAAGTGGACCCCGCCACGGCCACGCCGTGGCGCACAGCAACACTCGCTGATGGCGTTTTATTTTTGTTTCATGTCTCTCTCTCTCTCTCTCTCTCTCTCTCTCTCTCTCT